TAAAATAATAACAACAGAAGTGAGTACCAGTCGGTTGTGATGTGCCGGAACCGACGTATGGGGTAGGCCTGTAATAAAAGAGGGCAAAAAGGTTGATGTAAACAAATAACTTTATTGTACACATATTACACAGCTAGACCTTTATCTTAATTCCTGTTCTGGTTGCGGAATATAAGTCGTGTATGCTGCAGATTTCCACCACCCCAGTCTTTTAATGATATGAACCAGGACCTTGTGGCTTGACGCTGCAGAAGCGGCTCCAAATCTAAATGAGCGGCCATAGAATCCTGAGTGGTCAAGACCGAGTCTGATGTAGTATATGAACTTCGTACTGGTCAAGGGGTTACCATGTAATGAAAGTAGTGACATATTAGGATTAAGACCAGCAAGTGGAGAACGATATGTGTCAAATAATGTAATGGGACACCATGGGTTACCAGTGGTATAATAGCAGACTTTAGTAGGCGGGCCTATCTGATTTGTTTTGGTTTGATCAATGGTAAGTACGTAATGGTCTGTGTCTTTTTGAAGATTCTTAGTTTTAAGGTGCTGGTGGTTAGACGTGATGTTATTGGTTGTGAATTCATTTGGTCGTAAGAATCCATAGAAGGCTAGATAAGCTGCCGTGTTGATAACAAGATTAGTGTTGGTTTAGAATGGAGTGGTGTCCAGGATGTCTGAAAGTGCACAAAATTTAGGACCGTCAACAGGGAGCCTGGTAGTGGTAGTGGGTTTGTCTAATCGTTGTATGCCTTTCAAAATGTTTTTTAATGGGACAGGTAGATATGAAGAGGCTTGTGCTAGGGTAGGCACTTAGGATGTGATGTTGAATTCCTATGAGATCTAGTTTTATTGTGTTTAATGATAATCTTAAAGAATGTGGAGCCAACAAATTGTAGATTAGCCTTTTTTATTGTTGAACTTTCCAGTGGGGGGAAAGGGAGGATTAGGGAAATATCAACCCGATGTTCAACTCTTTCATGACCAGTAATTCCGTGCTGACAGGGTCAAGAAGGGCAGACTGTAGGTTGGGACATTTGTGAATACCAGTGGGGAGTGTGACCAGGCCAGTGTGGAAACTGTCATGAACCCTTTTACCAAGAAGTCGACTAGGTGATGGGAAGAGTGTGCCTGGAGGTAAAACACCAGGTTGTCGATGCTAACTTCGGTTAGTAATTGTTTTGGGTACAGACTAGTGATGTCGCGAACCCGAAATTTTCGGTTCGCGAACGGCGAACGCGAACTCCCGCAAATGTTCGCGAACCGGCGAACCGCCCGAAACGCCATTGACTTCAATGGGGAGGTGAATTTTAAAACACACAGGGACTCTTTCTGGCCACAATAGGGATGGAAAAGTTGTTTCAAGGGGACTAACACCTGGACTGTGGCATGCCGGAGGGGGATCCATGGCAAAACTCCCATGGAAAATTACACAGTTGATACAGAGTCTGGTTTTAATCCATAAAGGGCAGAAATCACTTAACATTCCTAAATCACAATCAATATGGATTGACACCTGACATATGACATATTGACACCTTGACATATGGATTGACACCTGTCCTCAGAGCCCTGATGCACACGGACACAGAGCAGAATAGAGACTGGTCCCCCTACATAGGGTCACTTGGCAGATATGGATTGACACCTGTCCTAAGGATCCCTGATACACACTGACACAGAGCAGAATAGGGACTGTTCCCCCTGCATAGGGTCACTTGGCAGATACGGATTGACACCTGTCCTAAGGTTCCCTGATACACACTGACACAGAGCAGAATAGGGACTGGTCCCCCAACATCGGGTCACTTGGCAGATATGGATTGACACCTTGTTACAAACTGCTATTTGTAACGGGCCTTTTAAATGGCAAATTGCCCTGCTTCCCTGGGTTGTGGAGAAGCCTATTTGCCAGCCTCCTCCCGCATGACTATGGCCCCTGGGAGATTGTGAAAATGTATGCACTTTTATTTGGTGTGTATGGCCCTTTAAGACTGTCGGTGGGCATATTGGGGCTTATGGACTCTTTAGGTGACTGGTGCTGGCCCTTTAAACACCTTTTTTGGGACATCAGGAAGATTGGGACACTGCCCCTTTAAGGCCATGTCCCCAGACTTGTTGGGGACACGGCCCCTTTAAGACGGTGTCCCCTGTGTCCCCAGACCTGGTGCAAACCCTGTGTGCCTGCCTTGCTATTTCCCACTTGGTTCAGTAAATGGGAAATTATTTCAGCTGCAGAGACTAAGTCCCATTCGGCGATGGGACTTAGTCTTTTTTTCAGCCGTTTTTTTCAGCCTTATTTCAGCTGCAGAGACTAAGTCCCATTCGCCATGGGACTTAGTCGTTTTTTCAGCCTGAAATAGACCGACCTCACAGCCCAAATCTATGGAACTGTTTTGGGCAGGAAAATGTGCTTGCAGTCGGTCATAAAGGGACTTCCAGCTAACTTTTTAACCCCTGGATGGATTTGGCTGATTTTTGGTTATGTTTATGTTTTAAGTGTGCTGATTCCAAATATGTAATTATGAAGATGGATGTGTAGTTTTAAAGTTACAGGGTATGGCTAAAAACTGTATTTTTACTGCCTGTGTTTAATTATGTTAATCTCTTCCCAAACGTCATTTCGTTCAAAGTGGAGAGAATGTTAAAAAAATATATTTTTTGTTCGGAGTGTGAGAAATGCTTTTCAGCCGCTTCTAATCTTAAGCATCATTTGAGGAGCCATACAGGAGAGAAACCTTATTTGTGGTGTGTTTAGTATTGTTCTGATCAGTTTAATACCTTCCGCCTCTCCTATCAGTGGACGTGTATATGGCAGCCATTTTAGGAACCGTACACCTGGGACCCGAGCAAGGTCACCTCGTTCAACAGGCTTGCAGCGTATCCTCCAGGAAGAAGAGCCTGAACCCTTACCGGCTGCACGTGTCTTACCTGTACATGGAAAACTGCTGTGGTTCCTTGATGAGCCAGCTGCCCGTGAGTTAACATGTCCCGTGGAGAAGC